CTTGTGTATTTTTACCCCTAGTGTTCAGGAATTTATTTCTGAATTATTTTTATTGTTTTCAAAAATCTTCCAGTGTATTTATTTAATGGTTACCTGTTTGCTTCCTTAAGCACGACAATGTTAACGATACAAGAATTACTTAAACACGTACATACACAGTGTCAGGAATGCAGATTTAGCTATCAGGAAGGAGTAAATTGATATTATTAACAATTTTAATATATAATAATATGTTATACGAGTAATTATATGTTTTTATTAAATGTGTTTTTATTATCAAGAGGCGCATAATTTTCGTTTAATCCCACGAAATATGTACAAGACAAATTTTTTACTAAAAAAAGTTAGCAATGATTCTCTTTAGAACTGTTTGAGGATATGAAAATTATTTTAATAAATAAACCCTTGAATATTCACGGTGTAGGCTTTGTTATTTTTACCAGCGCCACTACGTAATGATTTATTATTAAACCAAACCAGACCAAACATTTATTTTCGCCAACTTTTTTAAGTAAAATTCGAGATTGTTTCTTACAACAATTAAAAAAATATTACTTTATAATAAATTGTACTGGTTTCTAAAGACAACTTCTTTCGAAGGGATTTACAGGAGTTTATTTTGAAAAAAATATAGAATTTACTAGAATTTCATAAAATAATGCAAAACCTAAAAATGAATATTTACAAAAAGAAGAATTAGACCAAGAAAAACAGTGACATATTTATTATATTAATATCAACTATACTTATTAGTTTTTAATAATTATTGTTATTGTACTTTCAACAGCTTGTCTTTTTATTTCAATATAAATTTTATTATTAACAATTACTAGGTATTTAAATTACATCACTTACTTTACTTACTCCATGTAAAATATAAAAAAGGCCTAATTATTTATTTACCGGTAATATTTTTTTTAATCCTATGTGGCTTATTAGTGCGTGGAAGTCCAAAATTTTCTTTATTTCTATTATTTTAATTTATCTATTAAAATAAAAAGTTGTCAAACACTATCACTAATAAGTCCAATATTGTAATAACAAATTATAAAGTAATAAACTGAATAGTCAATTTGAATAAACGGAGTTTTAATTGTTTAAAGATTAGCAAGTTGATGCCTCTGTCTAAAATCGCTACTAATTTACAACCTCACAATTTTATACACAAAATTAAATCACTTATCTCGGCTAGCTTTTTAATCTACATTTTTATTACACAAGTTTTACTGTATAGCCCCAATTTTTTTCACACGCCTCTGCTTTTCTTTATAGCCCCGTTGTTTTTCTTTAGAGCCCCACGTTGGGCGCCATTTGTTATGACTTTTACCTAACACACACTTCATAACCTCACAAATTTACAAATAAAATTGAGAAATAAATGTCATTAAATATTATTATTACAAATATTGTATGTACCTATTGATAACACAACTCGTTTTATATAACTTTGATGGATATTTTTATATATGGGTACTATTGAGGACAGTTTAAAATTTCTAATACTAGCTAAAAATCTTCTAATTCAATATTTTTTCAACTAAAAATATTTTAATAGTACTTTAAAACATTATACAGAGTGCCCCATTAGCGCGTAATGGTTCAATATTTAAAAAGTACAATATTTTTAAAAATTGTATATGTTTCGTTATTGCCTGGCAAATAAAAATGTGTTTTTTTTAAATATAACACCCTGTATTTTATTTTTAGAATGGTTTGATATAACTGTATTTAACCCTGGAATGTTTTTAAAAAACATTAGTGTGGCCAAGCAAATATTTTTTTTTAAATTAGAGAATAATACAGACCCCAAATTACATTATCATAATATAGATACGTTTACATTGATTTTAAGACTGTTTAATGTACAGACTTATAAGATACTAAGCTAACGACTAGTTCTTATAGAACTGGTTTATTTTGAAACATGTCTTAAATATGGCTAATTTTGAGTTACAATTTTTTTAAATACAACACCCTGTATATAAATTCCTTATAAATATGCCTATACAACGATACCAATACAGGATGTCCCATCAGTGCATAACTGAGCGATAGCTGTTTTATTATTAGAAATTCGAAAAAAAAAAATTAATATAAAAGTTGTATAACCATATTTAACATTTATTCTTAAATATATAGGATGGCTCATAAACGTGGTGCTGATTAATCTACACTTTTTTAAAGCAAAACACCCTGCAGATAGTTATACATATTTGATTGTTTCCACACCGTCAAACAATTTTAATTGACTACTCGTTTGCTGTGTTGTATCCCAGGGAACAGACTGATGGCATGTTGACGACATTTTTCTGTAATTCTTCGTCATCGACGTCATGTTACCAAAAAATGACGCGATTATGACGGCTTTTCTTAAACGTCTTTTTAACGTCACAAATTCGACGTCAGTGTGACATCAATTTATAGTCACGAATAAATTAAGGTTTATATTAAACGTCATTTTAATACATTTTATTTATGTAAAATGATATGGCCTAAATAAGTATTTTTTAAAACTCTTAGGTCTATTAACGTTTAAATCTGGCGCTTAAAATACATAAAGATTTTATGACACCACATGACTGCGTCTGTCTGTGGTCATTGGTCTGTGGAGTATGGCTCGTGTGTGTTCGAATCGTTCGAGCAAGGACGAGAACGGCATCGCAGATTGCTGCATCGACCGTATGTCATGTGTAATGGTGTGTGTATCATGGGTCGTGGCCCGTGTGCATTCAGGATTGTCGTTAAAAGTTAAGACGTCAGTGAAAAAAGTTATATCAATATCAGCCCAAATGTGCCTTTTAGTATTTGTATATGTATATTTTCACTATTCTTTAATGATTTGGTATGTATTTCATTCATAGGCTGTTTCCTAAAACGTTTCCAGGTTCGTGAAATGGTATAAAATGGCGGCACTCATAGAAATATCATTAGAAATTACTTGTGCCCGTAGTCTTCATAATTGTGTCAAAGCCAAAATAGTAACGTACATTTGGAGCAGTTGAATTTATATAAATTATTGTTTTTTTGCCAATAACATTTTCTTTATTTTATATTTCATGTATTTAAACTGTTTTTCTTTTTAATTATAATGATTTCGTTTTTTAATTTTGTTTTATTTGGGCTGTGACATGTTAGCGTCATTTTACCGTCATTATCACGTTAGTTTTCAGAGGATAAATGACGTCGGGTATAACGAAAATAATATGTCATAATAACGTCAGTCTGCTGTCTGGGATATAGGGTATGTCAAAATATGAGGTTACGATTTTCTTAATATTAATTAATTGGTGGTATAACACATAGAGTTTTCCATTTAAAAAATTGAGAAAATTGTTACCCATCATTTTGACACACACTATATACAAGATAACAAATAAATGAAGTCTATTAAAATTGTTTGACGATGCAAAAACAATCAAATATGTATATAACTACCTGCAGGGTGTTTTGCTTTAAAAATGTATAAGTTCGGCCAGCTTCTTCTTTATGGACCACCCTGTATATTTAAGAATATTTATTAAACATGGTCATACAACATAAAGTTTTTTTTTCGTATTTCCAATAATAAAATAGCTATCGATCAATTACACACTGATGGGACACCCTGTATATGTGATATTGGTTAAAATGTTGTTATCATTAGATAGGTAAATTTAGAAGGAATTTTATGCTAAAATAATATACAGGTTGTTGTATTTGAAAAAATTGAGTAAATTGAACTTAAAATTAGCCATATTTAAGACATGTTCTATCACCATTATTCGTCTGTATATTAAACAATTTTAAAATCAATGTAAAACTACCTAAATTAAGATAATTTAATATGGGGCCTGCATAATTCTCTAATTTCAAAAAAAATTAATTGCTAGGCAAAACTGTAATATTTTTTTAAAACATTCTAGTGTTGAATACAGTAATACCTATCCATTCGAAAAATTAAATAAAATACAGGGTGCTCTATTTAAAAAACAACCATTTTTATTTGTCAGGCAAAAACTCAACACCCTGTATATCCAAAAATATTTTCAAACTATATATTTTTTAAATCCATATAACTTTTATTTAAAACTTTTTTGCGTGTCTATAACACAAATTTAAATATTGAACAATTACGCACTAATGGGACACCCTGTATATCGGACTATCTCTTTTCATCATAAATTACTTTTAACATAATTTTGACGCATGATAACAAGTATATGGTTTGAAATTTATGTCAATTTAATTTTTATGTGCATTTAAAATTGTGACTGACCACTGAATTATTCCAAAATGTTATCAAAATTAAAATATTTGGCCAGCTCGTTTGCTTTTGATGTTTGTCTTTTTGGAGGAAAAAGAGGAAAATATTTCGATATCCAGATGAAAATATAAAGCCAAATGTAAAATGTATAGCCACAAAAAATTGAAAAAATTTGGCCGGCAAGTGGATAAAAATGTAGACCGAAAACTGAAGCTAAAAAAAGGCTGAGTACCAGCAAAATACGATTTTTTAAAATAATATTTAATTATTTTTGTTTCGTAGGTCATAATAAGATTAAACATATTAAAAGTGAAATTCCAATGTCCAAAGAATAAAATAAAACCAACATAATTATTTGTATTGAGTACTACTTGTTTATTATGTTCAAAAGTGACCAACAACTGGCGAAGTTAGCCAATTTTAATATGATTTTGTGAAAAAATTGAGAGAATAAAGGTCCAAAGATTTTTAAATATAAATGATTCGTCAGGAAATATATACAGTGTGATTCATACAAAAATAACAATAAATATTAATATTTTGTGCCCCTGAGTCGATTACTATTATTTATTAGATATATTTTCTTAAATTTAATATTGCCCCTTTATAGTTTATGTATAAATATTTTAATAACATTAGGAGAAGCCATAATTATGTGAATATAGAAATGTAAAAAAAATTATAAAATAAGGATTCAAGAGTTTTTAAATAGTTTAAATTTATATATTTTTAAAAGTAAACGAAACACTGTACTTACCCTGTATAACTAACAGCGCTGCCACTAAACGTTGCATGATGTTTGGCGAATCTCTTGACATTAAAATGTCATCAAAAACCAAAGTTGAAACCCACGAAATCGGGGGATTAAAACGAAATTTTATTGCAGACGACTACGACGATTTAACTAACGACTCGCTTGATATAGGTATACGAAAATACGCAGAAAAACGAAATGAAGACGCTTCTTCGCAAAACCCCCCCGTACATTCAAGGACTTTTTAAATTAATCATGTCGATCTGCAGCGAGATACGGCGCCGTTTTATTTGTTCTAGCTAGAGGTTCGATAGATCGCGTCGGATTAGATGAGTTGCATAATAAAAAATTTGATGTATTGTAGAAATCTCACGGTTCTATAACTGCCTATTATAATTAAATAGGAAAACGCCATAAATGAGGAATTATAATCGGCCAATGTCTACACTAAAATAGGGCGATATCGCCAGTTGTCGTCCACTTTTGATGAGTTAAAAAAAAAGAAGTAGGTACTTAATTATATAGTGACCGGTAAAAGTATGAAACAAATTGATTAAAAAATAGCTTTTTTTTTAAAAATTATTAGACAATTCGATTTTGTTTTTCAATTTTGCACATTTTATGTAACATTTTAATTTTTTGTCGCCACTTTTGCACAAGCTAGGACGTCACCGGCCTCTGTAGATTACAATTTTGTAAAACTTGGATAAATTTATGTAGCAATAATCAACACTTTTCCAGAAAAATACTTTTTTCAGAAGAAGCGGCCTTCTGCTTGAATGGTACAGTCAAATTTGCAAGTACTGGAGCAGGGTACATCCTCATTGGATCATAGGCCCTTTTTTCTTTGACCAAACATATTTAGAATTTGTGCAAAACTCTCTTTGTTCCTACACTAGCAGCAATATTTCCCAATGAGTATGGAGATTAGGGTTGCCACCTGTCCTTTTTTGAAAAGGACAGTACTTTTTTGAAGCAAAATGCCCTTGTGACTGTTTACAGTTTTAAATGTCGTGACCTTATTTATATTATAGAAATTTATTTTGCAAAGTACGCCTATGGAATGTGACGTTATATCCCCTCTTTTATTGCATTCTTCTTTTATTTAGACTATAGTACATTTCAACTTTTGGCAAAGGTGCCACATTGTAATATTAATCGATGAATTTAGTTCATAAGAATATAGCTTCTGTTTTTAAATTGTCACCCCGTATATTATTATTATTATTTATCGCTATAAGACAAACTACTATCCACGAACATCCTTAGGCATATGGTGTACTTTGAGAAGAATTAATTGTAATAATTCATTGTTGTTACGTTCATATCATTTTGATCCAAAGACAACACAGTTAAAGTATGGGATACAGGAAAAATTATTCCTCATTTTAGAAAAGTTCGTGTTGTTCTTTAGCAGAGAGAATAGTATTTTTTTTATTTTAAGAACTTTTCATGCAATTGAACTTATCATTCTTTGTATTACATTTGATTTCATTAGATGCCTTTATAAACTACAGTGAAACTTCTCCATAACGGACACCAACGAGGAAAAATAATTGTCCGTTGTGTAGAGTTGTCGTTAAATCAGTTGAAATAAAAAAGAGCTTTCTGTTTGTTTGATCTTTAATTATACATTTTCGTATATACATATACACAAATAAAACACAAATAAAATACTAATGTAAAAAGGTAGGTATCACTTCTTAAAAAAATCATCAATTTTGGTTTGTTTTTTGTTTTGAACATTATTTTTGACAATTTCTGACTCAACGTTTAGAATTTTTTGACTATTGAATCACCTCAAAGACATTAAACATAGAGACAAAATGTTTCATTCATAAATCCCATACAATTGCGGAATGTTATTGTTTTAAAATTGTTAGTGAGTGGAAGAGAGAAAGACAGATATCTTAGGACCGGCTGGCAAAGTAGTAAACAGTGTCCATAATATGCTCGCCAGTGGCGTAGAGTTTTAAGCTTACCAGTATTGTCAGAGTAGTACGTTAAAAAAATACGTAAATAAGTAGGTATTTTTTTAGTAATATAATTATGATTTTTTCATGTAGGTAAATTCAAGTACAAGTAAATTCAAATACAAGAGAATTCAAGTTACCTTCCGATTTTTAATATTTATTGGTTTATAGTTTATTGGCATTTACTATATATTTGCCTGGTGTGATGTTAACCAAAATTATTTAAAATTTTAAATTAACATTAAGTAGGTAGGGGTATCTAAATAAAACACTGTCCTAAAAATATATAATTTTTTAATTAATAATTACAAAAAAAACATGGTATGGCAAAAAATATCCTAAAAAAACTGTCAAATTTTTTAAATAACTTTTTAAATATATTAAATATCTTAATTTTATTAACTAAAATTTCACTTAATTTTTTTATGCTTAGTTATTAGTGTTATTACCTACTACAATGTTTTTTTTTGCAGCAGGTGGTGTTCCAAAAACAGTTGAATCAGAACTATAAACCCATACATTAGATATATATATATATAGGTAATAAATAATGTTTGTCCACGACTGTGTATAAAACATTCATTAAACTTGTACTTCCTTAAGAATAATAATACCTATTATTCAATAGTGAATAATGATCCATTAGTCACGGTATGACGTCACGACAGCACATATGTCTAAACTGATATGAAAATATTCTTTATAGGTAATCGAAAAATCGAAAAATCGAAAAATCGAAAAATCGAAAAATCGAAAAATCGAAAAATCGAAAAATCGAAAAATCGAAAAATCGAAAAATCGAAAAATAGAAAAATAGAAAAATCGAAAAATCGAAAAATCGAAAAATCGAAAAATCGAAAAATCGAAAAATCGAAAAATCGAAAAATCGAAAAATCGAAAAATCGAAAAATCGAAAAAATCGAAAAATCGAAAAATCGAAAAATCGAAAAATCGAAAAATCGACAAATCGAAAAATCGAAAAATCGAAAAATCGAAAAATCGAAAAATCGAAAAATCGAAAAATCGAAAAATCGAAAAATCGAAAAATCGAAAAATCGAAAAATCGAAAAATCGAAAAATCGATAAATCGAAAAATCGAAAAATCGAAAAATCGAAAAATCGAAAAATCGAAAAATCGAAAAATCGAAAAATCGAAAAATCGAAAAATCGAAAAATCGAAAAATCGAAAAATCGAAAAATCGAAAAATCGAAAAATCGAAAAATCGAAAAATCGAAAAATCGAAAAATCGAAAAATCGAAAAAAATCGAAAAATCGAAAAAAAAAAAAACGAAAAATCGAAAAAAAATCGAAAAAAAAACGAAAAATCGAAAAAAAATCGAAAAAAAAATCGAAAAATCGAAAAAAATCAAAAATCGAAAAAAAAAAATCGAAAAATCGAAGCATCGAAAAAAAAATCGAAAAATCGAAAAAAAAAAAACGAAAAATCGAAAAAAATCGAAAAAAACCGAAGAAAAATCGAAAAATCGAAAAAAAAAATCGAAAAGTCGACAAATCGAAAAATGGATAAAAACGAAAAATCGAAAAGTCGAAAAAACAACAGTTATTATCTATGTTTAATAAAAACTTTCCATACTACACTTAACTTTTATTTAATAAAGAAACCATAATGGTCGTGGACAAAGTATAGTATTAGACTCGCAATTTATGTCCATTATTCACGCAGGGTGACGTTTGCGTCCCGAGCCGTAGGCGAGGGGCGCTACCATAAATTGCTCGTTTAATAATATACTATTATAGGTAAACAAAAAATTTATGTTTTGTATTTTTACCTGTTGGATAAGTCTTTCGAAAATAGAAAGCCCTCACACAGTCTGGAGTTTGCATCTTTTCTGATATATTTAGCACTATTTGCACGTACCAAAACATCTTCAGGAAAGAAGTGTTTTTAACACAACTCTGGGTTTTAACGAAGGGGCTGATTTTCAAGAATTCCTACTAGAGAAAACCAAAGTTTTCTTTTCTCAAGATCTTGCAGAAACCTAAATAGAATATTAAAAAATATGTATAGGTGCCTAATAGGTATATCATTTTTAAGATATTCTACATTTTACGTTAAATTTTCTTTGTCACTATTTAATAATTATTTATTGTTATAAGAATAATTTACTAATTTATAAAAGAAATATCACTTTAAAGACTGTTTTAGACTACACAATTACAAGATTTTGATACAATTTCTTGTACAGTTTAAAATGTATAGTATCAAATCTACAGTAAATTGTCTGAAAAATTAGATTGGATAATCATTTTTTAAACAATTTACTATGTGACACTATACAATTTAAATTATATAAGAAATTGTAACAACTCTTGTACAAGAAATTGTATAGTCGAAACAGTATTAAGACGGGTGCCCCACTCCATTGGTTCAAATGAAAACAACATATCTTAACATAAAAATACTTATCGATGAAAGGATAAATTTCGATTTAAATAATCTACCTTACTGAACACTAGACATGCATGTACCATAATTCTTTATATTTCTCACAAAAATAGTATTTTATAAATGAATAAATCAATAAGTCACACAGAAACTTGTCAGAAACACAAAATAGCTGTTAGACCCGATCGGCAACGTTGCGGCTGGTTACGGTAACTACATTTCATTCATGTTACTAGTTGTAAATTCGTAAAATAAGATATTCAGCGTTGCCGTATTTATGGAGTTCTTTGCAACCCTAATATTTTGTTTAGATTAATATTGATTTTTAATAAAAAATTTAGCTTATATTAAAACTTTAAAGAATAATTTGATTAAAAACATATTTTTATTTATATACTATAAAATTATAGTTATAGGATACATCAAATTTTATTTTTCGAAAGTAATTTCTCCAAATAATTTTTACAGACTGATAAAACCGGCAAAGACGCAATAAACGAGAATCTGGTGGGAATAATGATTTGCCACATGAAAATGTAAACAATTTGGTCTCTTAGTTGTAATGTCTTTGCACCACCTTTATGTATAAAAACAATTATAAGTCTTTTAATTTTAAGTAACCATCATTTAAATTACTTACAATTGTAGTAAGTTCTAGTTCATCGTCACTCTCATTGTCGGAAACATTGGACACCTGTTCGTTTCCTTTAAAATTACTAAAACAACTAGCTAAGTTTACTTCAGGATTTTCCGCCAATAGGGCTGCATCAATCTCCACGTAGTTCAAAAAACTTTCAACTCCATTACTTTCGCAGAAGGTTGACAATGGCAAATCGTCTTCCAGGTCCTGTAGCTCCAGATTTTCCACAATTTCTTCTCCATTATTATCGTTTCTTAAAAAACCGCACTTAATGAAACACTTTTCAATTGTTTT